CGAAAACCCCTAACGCAGATTTCTTGATCTAATTTAAAACGCGCACACAGATTTCTAATCTCACTTTCTCCATACCTTACACTAGTCATGCCCATGCGGCCACTGTTCAGGAGCAAGTGCGTCTAAAGACCTAATTAAAGTCTCATAATGACTACTATCCGGTGCAGTTCTTGACACATGAGACGGGAACGTAGATTTCCTGCCAAGCTGCGGAAGAATTGTGCAGGGTTAATGACTTGCACCCTTCTTGGAGCATGTAGTTCAATATTTGAAATTTATTTTCAATGACAGCTTTTTTTGTTTCATTAAAATGTAATCCTGGAGCTTCAACCATAGACTTCAGAACGCGAATTTGTCGTGTTATTAATTTGTGGGCCTCGGGAAGTGTTTTACCGCGTTTGTGAATTTCTAACGACAGGTATGAAAGTTCTGATAAAGCATCATATAATATAAGGTACACCGGGGTAAGTGGAACCGCAAATTTCAGTACCTCCACTTTGACCTGACTGAGAAGAAAACCTGTCTCTTAACGTTGTTCAGATTTGAAAAGCTGACTACAGAGATATTACTTTAAGGATGTACCATTATAGAAAATTATCGTGGTTTTAAATTTTTCTTCTGTAATTTTTTATATTTTTGGCGTCGTTGGGTTACACTTGCCTCGATGGTATGGGGCAAGTGTGACCCATGGCACTTTTTAGCACTCAGAACTGAAGAGAGTTTGCCGGGGTATGTGTAAATAACTAGTCTTGTTGTATGCTGTAAAACAAATTTATTACAAAAAAAAAACATTTAACCCACATTATAGGAGTCAAATACAACGTTAAATAATATTTTTCCTCTCTTATTTCTATAGGCGAAGGTAAATGCATAAAAATCTCCCCTTCATTGACAATGCTTCTGTCTTCAACATGAGGCCAATGAAATCTCGATGTCTTACCGATTCTCCTACAAAATTTGACCTCTAGACATGGTTCTTTCTCAGTGAGCTGTCCTACATACATCTTGACCTGTTTCTTCTGATCAAATTTAACAACAACCCAATCATCCACATCTATTTTTGACAAGTCTAGTTGCATTTGGTCGAGGAAATGGATTCATCTCCTTTACTTCATGTAGACTAGATGAATCGCTTGAATGGCTTTGCAAATCCTTCGCACTGCTATCGTCACTACAATCCTCTTCAACTAAGGGTCTCTTTTGCTTTGCCTTCGTCTTTTGCTTCTCTTTGCTTTCAACTGTTTTTGTTATTTTTACTTTTTTTTAACCTTTGGTTTTCGATGTCTTCAAGCTTATCACTAACTTCCTCTGAAGTGATCACTTCAGCACCTCCGCAGATTCCGGTGGAAGTTTTTGGTGTTTCCCCTTCGGAAAAAGTCCTAAGCATCGCTACATACCTTGGCTTACCGAATGCAGCGAAGTGTACAGGCCACTGCTTACGAAGAACTTCTGCGACTTTGTTGGCGGATGCAGGGGACAACGTTGAAGCGGCACGGCACCGACGGCTGGAAAAGTACGGCTGCGGAAGGGTATTTGGAAGATTACGTAAACTGAATTGAATTTCGATTTTCTCAATAATACGGTGTGTACTTTTCGGGATCGGTTAGCTTATTGTTTAAAATTAGAAGGAGAGCAACGTCAGAGCGAAGGCTTTTAGGGCCAGTCATTCATATGCGAGCGACTTTCGGAATAGGGCCGTGTCAATGTTGAACGAAAAGCAACGTTTCGCCCACTTTCGTAAGGGGCTTCACCAAGACAAGAAACAAAATAACAATAAAAAATAAAATATATAACAACTCTTACCGATAAGCCAACAGGAGATACTTTACTATACTGCCCACTTTGTACACTGAGCAGTATTTATTTATTGGCCCGTATGAATAAAAGTAAGCAAATGCTTATACTTGCAAAATTCAAAATAAATACTCGTAACTGCCCCTTCATACATGGTCTGTTTAGCATGGTTTAGCAGCGCTGCACTGCGTCTTGTCCTTCTGCTTAGAAGCGCTGCTAAGTTGCCCAGTGCGAAGGAGCAATTACGAGTATTTACTTTGAATTTTGCAAGTATAAGCATTTGCTTACTTTTATTCATACGGGCCATTGTCCCTCTCTTGTTCTGGGCCCTCAACAGGCTTTGGCCCAATTACAGAGTGGCCCGCATAATGCTTTTTAGAGGTGCCCCTGCAGAAGGTCTTAAGTTGTTCTACACTACTCCAGTATTTACCTTACGAATGCTCGAAACTGATCTAAGGAAATTCCCATCTCTACCACAGATGAAAAATTCTTACCTCAGCCCAGGTTCGAACACCCGACCTTCCGGCTATGTATCCCAACGCTCTACCACTACAAATCTAGCTATTTAAACTTATTCCGTCAGGAGAATTTGGCGAAAGACCCATAATACTTTTAACTGCGACATGGTGTGACAAAAAGTGCACCCGAAGGCGCCGACCAGTGGGCCAATCGCTTCACTCGACGGACAAAAACCTATTGTGAAGTGAAATAATAGAAACATTCTTAAAAAACTAAACTAGTCAACCCGCGGGGTAAAAACAATTTGCCCCTGACAACTTTAGGGGGTGGCAAAATAGAACATATCTGTTTCTGTGAAATAACGTTCAAATCTTCCACGGGCGGAAACACATACACACATGCGAATTTCTGCCTCGAACAACTCACTTCAAAATCTTTTCCAATTGTACTTATTACCTTGGCTACAAATTCTTTTGTTGTTTCTTTTTTTGTCTTGGCGTTGTAAATCAAGTTGCACCGAATAAAATCCCTCACTACTGGTAGACATTCAATTTCACTTTCCCTTATATCGAAATTTTCCTCATCGTTTAAGTCCGATTCTTCATTGTTGGGTTCTAAATCCAACTCCTCTACATTTTCTTCCTCTGGCTCTGGATGGGGATCTTCATCATCAGCAGGGTTTAAATCAGATGCAGTAACTGCTTTGCCGGCTTCTACGCGTAAACGTGTAAACATACGGACAGTATTACTTCATATAAAAGTTTTCCATCATAAAAAGGTTTTTGCTTTTTCCACCACTTCTACTAAAAAAAAAGAATGGTAATATTCTCCAAACGTTCTCGCATTTTATCTTAATTATACAATACACAACAATATAACAAATGACTGTGAATTTATCATTTCTTTAGTGCACATTTGAAGTCTAATTTTCTTATTGTATTGAGCCACATTTCGTGATAATAAAGGAAACATTAATCTTATATACATATCATGTTGTCAAGGTAGTTTAGGAGTGTACGTCCCTTTTCGGTAATATTAATTGTATACCTCCCTCTGTTATATTCTGGTACTATCATCAAACATTGTCATGTTAATATCTCGTACAACGTGGCATAGAATAATGCAAAGAGACTTGATTAGGCGGAACCAATTAAGAGCCAACTCCGTCTTTCTTGTTTTCAATTGCTGCGCAGTAAAGGGAAGGTAGTAGATTGCTATTTTGAAATTTTAGCTCGAATTGTTTTACGTAGAAGTAAATGCGATTCCTAATTGGTTTCTAACTCGTGTCAGTTTTCATTTCCACTACGTAACGTTAAAGATCATTCAAAAAGAACAACACCGTCCATGGGGGCGAATAAATTGTAAGCGCGGATTGACAGAAACAATATCCTGTTATTTGCAGCACGTTTATCAGTTCTGCAACTCTAATACGTTTTTAAATTGATTAATTTGCTAATCTGATACAAAATCAAATCACCGACAACGGAAATGGGAGAATTCCATTTACTCTCAACTTTTGCAATTAGTATTTCGAAGCTGTGTATTTTGTACTTAGTATATGAACTTTAGCAAACTATTCGCCATCCAAACGAGGCAAAGCGTAACTCGAATGAATAAGCTTTAAGGGTGTGGATATTTTTGATTTATTGACCATTGCTTTAATTTAGAATGTAATAAACGTAAATTGTAATGCAACAAAAATACTGCGACGATAATTGGTCGACATTAAAAGGAATTCTTTGGTATCTACTTGTTCTTTGACCTCACACGTTGCAAGCTGTTACAGCTCTATTAATCTTGTCCGCCAAACTTACGCATACTGTGCTTCTATAGACACTTCAGCTATTAATGAAATACAAAGATTCTGCTTCCTGAATTGAATTAGAATAAATTGTGACGAGACTTTTGTAAATTACATATATTTTTAAAATCCTTTTATCTTTTTTATCGTGTTACTTTAATTGAATAAGTAGTAGAGGAAACGTATGTAACGTTTCACCTTACGAAGAAACGTTACATGAACTTTTTCAAACCCATTTAGAATTTGTTGTTTCTTGTAATTCGCATAAAAGCTGTTCATTTTTTATGTAGTAATGCGAATTAAACAATTTTATGAAGGAAAACAACATAAGATAGGGAACCTGACAGCTATAAAACGCAAAGAATCAAAACTGCAAGTGAATTAATGTAGTTCTTAATATAAAAGTTCATTTTTACGCCAAATTGCCTATTTATAGAGTAGGTATACAGTTTTAAGTATTTATGGTGGGTTATAATGATTTCTTTGTTTATTTGCTGTAGGTTACGTGCCAGAATTTGATTACATTTGTAAATAATACTAAAAAATTAACAATTCGCCCAATAGTTATTTATCGAGTAACGTCCGTGTAGGGATAATTAAGAATTGTAGCTTTAGCATTATATATATATATATACCCCACAAGGGTTTCGTAAAACAATTTTACGATTTGCACACGTTGTTGAACACTAAGACTCTCCATGATGATTTGTCAAAGCATACTGAATAAATTACAGTCAATTTGACAGATGTAGCTAAAACAATATCGCTGCAATCAACTGTCAAAATTTAACATCCCTATTGGAAAACCCTATATGTGGTCTAAAGCTGCATTTATAATCACTTTGTAGGCGAAGTGCAACTTTGGCACGCGTGCTGTACATGTGACGAGCATTTACAATTACTAAAGTTGGCACGAATGTACGCATGCGTGTTACCGTTACCGGTTAATCATCTAACCTACAAGTAAGTGGTTTATCTTTATTTATTTTTAAGTTTTTAATTGTTTCATAATTTAATTGAAGAATGGCAGGAGAAATAAACGATGAATTATTACTACAGTGTGTGGCGAACTATCGGCCGTTATATGACAAGAGCTACGAAGGGTACAAATCAGTTCTTCAAAAAGAGAACTGTTGGAGATCAGTGGCCGATTCACTGAACAGAGATGGTAAATTGCAGAATTAGGTATTGAGGTTTTTTCACTAATTAACAAAATTATTTTAGTTGCAACAGTTAAAGCTCGCTTTAAAGCCCTTCGAGAAAAATACCGTAGGGAAATAAGTACAGAAGAAAAGTTGAACCGTAGCGGCGCACCTGCCAATACAAGACCTACTTGGCCACTTATGAGCTTTTTTAAGTTTTTATATAAAAGTGATGGACAAAGTAGGCAAACAACTACAAATCTGCCCTCAAGTTCAGGTGAAAGTAGTAGTATCAACTCTGAAGTGGAAACTGAAATAATTACATTCATTGACCATGACTACGAAGGTTGTTTTTCACCTGTCAGTAACAACACATGGCAAAGCGAAATGGAGAATACTCCACAACGAAAAGGGAAGCAAAGTACAAAAAGAAAGTGTGACCGGTCTGATGTCGTTGAAATTGATTCTGTGCTTAAGGATGTGTCCAGTGCATTACTTTCGTTAAATAATACAGACAACAATGGTACAAAATATGAGAAATTTGGCCAATATGTAGCTGCCGAGCTAAAAGACATGACTACAAGTCACGCAGATGAAGTAATGGATGCATTAACACTTCAATTAGTTTCATTCAAAAAACGCATTAGAGATCAATCCTTCAGTTAGTTAAGTAGTTTGCGATGTATTTATAACAATGTCATTAACGATTTAGTTCAAGTTTATTATGCATACAGGGTGGATGTTTAGTTTTAATATTGGAAATGATTTGTTAGCGAATTTACTAATTCAAGGTTTTCGACGATACTATTACATTGTATGGTTCAAGATTTTCATTATTTTATTTCATTAAGCAATACAATCTTCAAAATGATATTAGAACATTACAGTATTAAACGTTTCAATTAGTTTTATTTATTACATTCCACTGCCATGGTGCTAAAGATGCTCCTGAACCATTGAAGTATTCTTTTAAATATGTTCTCATAGCTAAGGCAGTTTCACCAGAATTTCTAGCACCTAACCGCAGTCGAAGGTTTGTCAGAGCCCCATCAACTGGAGCCTCAGTCCTCCATCTCCCAGAAATTAACTTTCCATCTACTTCTCTATCGATGTCTTCATTTTGAAAATAACATTCATTATTTTCCATTCTTATATAATTGTGTAAACATACACAGGCTTTCACAATATTATCAACTGTTTCAGGAAAAGCATTTATGGTACGGTGGAATATTCTGAACCTTGCCACTAAAATTCCGAAAACATTTTCAATTATTCTTCTGGCTCTAGAGAGACGATAATTGAATATTTTTTCGTCTTCAGGCATTGTACCATTTCGGCCTTTGCTGTATGGACGCATCAAATTGCTTCTAAGTGGGAACGCTTCATCTCCAACAAAGAAGTGTGGAATTTGTAGACCATTGCTTGAAACGGGTAACAACTTTGGAGATGGTAAATTAAGACTATTTGTAGAAAGTTTTTGTCCAAATTGTGATTGATTTAAAACACCTCCATCACTTTGTGAACCGTATGCTCCTATGTCCACATAAGTAAACATGTAGTCTGCATTGCACACGCCCAATAAAACAATGCTAAAATTTTTTTTATAATTAAAAAATGTAGAGCCTGACTTATAAGGTGCTTGAATTGTCACATGTTTGCCATCTATAGCCCCTACGCAGTTTGGTAATGACCACTTAGTACAAAATTCTTTTTCAAATTTTTTTAACATCTCTTCATTTGGGGTTTTTAACACTATTGGAAACAAAACATTCCACAACACCAAGCACGTTTCTCTAATAATATTACAAATTGTTGGTACAGCAACCCGAAAGGAATATGACAAGCTTGGATAAGAATCTCCAGTTGCCAAAAATCGTAATGTAATTGCAAGCCTATTAATAAAAACGATTCATTAATATTTTTAATTAAAACACATAGATATATAATTACCTGCACCCTGGAGATATCGATTCTCTTAGAGATTTTTTTGCAATATCTGGGCCCACAAGTGACAATAATTTATCAAAAGAGCTTGAAGACATCCTAGTGAAATTAAAAAACATATACGGATCATGGATTCGAATTTCATTTATTAAATTGTCATAAAACCCCTGACTTTTTCTTTGCAGTATCATTGGATGAATTCCAAACCTTTTTCGCTTTCGCGTTCTCTTCGTGCTTTTTAGTTTTAATTTAATAGATAATAAGGTAGCAATACTTCCCAACAAAAGGGCTTTTACTTCTACATCAGACATTATAGATAAAATTTATGCTTTATCAATAAAAAAAAATTGCTCTGAGGTTAGAAATTTAAAATGTTTACTATTGCGCATGATCGTGTGCCAGCACGAGACAAACAACCTTGCAGCTTGCAAGCGTCCATAAACAAGCAGCACGCCGTGCTGAGTCGCGATGATGTTGTGAATGGTATACCTACACTCCATATGTCTAACACGCGTGCCAAAGTTGCACTTCGCCTACAAAGTGATTATAAATGCAGCTTAAGAGAGTGCCTCTGTCAACTATGCCTACCCGATCGTTCAAAAATGCAACCTCATATTTGACATGCAACGTTTCTGGGAAATTGAGGATATACCCAAGTCGAGCGATTCACGTGACGATCCATGTGAGGTTCACTTTAAATCTATTATTAGTAGAAAGGCGGATGGACGCTTTGTTGTCTCTATAGACCATTTACGGAAGAACCTTCTTTGTTGGGAGAGACTCATAATTCAGCCATGAAACGCTTCACGTCTTTAGAGACTCCAATCCAATAATGATTTGTGTAATAAAAGATCTCATTGTTCAGTGACAAAAAAAGTTTGTGTCCATCTCCTCTTATACACAATTTTTATTTCTTGTTGTGTTGTTGTGGTGCCACCAAGTGATCGTGTGGCGCTGATCGTATAGCGGAAACTAGCCTAAAATGACATACCCGGGTAAAATGACACATTGGTGTAATTTATACAATTAACAAATAATGGTACTGCTGGTGCCATCTATACATCGGTAATCACAATTCAACACATTTGTATTAACTAACAGAGCGCTAGCGAGTCAGTTACAGCTATAACCTAACTAGACGTGAAATTGCCGCCAACATCTTTTCATTGTGTGCTTATGTAAAGACAGGAAAATTGTATTATTTAAACTATTATAGAAGTGAAATTTGGACCTAAGTAAATACTACTTGTGCTTTTGTGAATATCCCACAAGCTATTAAGTATAGTCAGGTAATTAAGATATTTCAATTTTTTTTAACTTTTTACGTCATTCAGTGTAAAATGACATACCTTCATGTGGGGTGATACGACATAGGTATGTCATTTTACCCATACATGAATGTTGTTGTTTATCTATTTCACCAAATGCTTACCACCACATTATTGTGTTGCAGTATGGTGGGGAAATATGTGCGGAAAACCGAAAGACAGTCGTGGAGTGAGGAATCAATGAGACTGGCTATCGAGGCAGTAAAAAATGGAGAGATGGGGTGGTTAGCTGCTGCTAAGCAGTTTGATGTGCCTCAAGCAACTTTACGCAGGCGCGCACAAAACAGAAATAAAACGGTGAAAGTGTACGTCCAAAGGTTTGGGTGCTTTCGGAGTTACCTTTCCACGAGAAATTGAAAAAGATTTTGTTATGTATATTAAAAAATTGGAAGAAATGTTCTTTGGTGTAACTACAACCGAGTTGAGAGAGTTAGCATATCTATATGCTGATGTTAATAAAATACCCCATAGATTTTCTCGAGTCCAAAAAAGAGCTGGCTATAACTGGCTCCAGGGTTTCCGCAGAAGAAATCCAGAAATAACCCTTAGAACTCCGGAGGCAACTTCTTTTGCTCGCGCGCAAGGGTTTAATAAGCCACAAGTTTCCAAGTTTTTTGCACAGTTACAAGATATTTATACCCATTACAATATTCTTGGAAAAAATATTTACAACATGGACGAATCGGCCTTGTCTACTGTGCAAAAACCGCCGAAGGTGTTCGCAAGTACAGGAAAAAAGCAGGTTGGTTCATTGACTAGCGCTGAGCGAGGCACTCATTCAACTGTAGTTTGTTGCATGAGTGCTACAGGTGTGTTTATACCTCCCACACTTATTTTTGCGCGGAAGAAGTTCAAGCCAGAGCTTGCCGACGATGCGCCCACCGGCACCTTAGCGTTATGTCAAGAATCGGGCTGGATGACTGGGGAGCTTTTTTTAAAATGGTTAAAACACTTCACAATACATGCACATCCGTCTGCTGATAATCGAGTTTTATTAGTACTGGATGGGCATGTTAGCCATAAGTACTATCCGGCATTAAAGTATGCCAAAGAAAATAATGTTATACTCTTATGCTTGCCGCCCCACTGCACCCACAAGATTCAGCCACTGGACGTTTCGTTTTTTGGACCTTTGTCCACCTATTATAATCAAGAAGTATCTAAATGGTTGAAACAGAATCCAGGTCGTATCGTAACTCAATTCCAGGTTGCCAGGTTATTCTCCGCAGCATATGGAAAGGCAGCTACAGTCGCTAACGCAATATCCGGATTCCAAAAAACGGGAATCTTCCCATTTGACTCCGATATTTTCCCTGATCATATGTTTTCACCAAGTGCAGTAACCGACCTTCCTATAGAAGATGTAATAAATCAAACAGCTGGAAACAGTCATGAAAACGTTTCAGAAAATGATAACGCACCGACGACTTCCAACCAAGGACAACAAAACTTTGAAACACGACATGAAAATGAAGAGCCTGACCCTAAAATTAAGAAAAACATTCCATTAGAGATTATTTCGCCACCTCCTAAAGCAAAAGAAGTAGCAAAAAGAAAGCGAACACCTCAGGTTTCTGGTGAATTAACACGCACTCCCATAATGGAAGAAATTAAAAATAAGCACGAGGCTAAAATGGAAGCAGAAAATAAAAAAAATGAGAGAAAAGTAGAGTTAGTTAAAAAGAAAATATTTGACACCGAGGGCGAGTTTTTCAATTTCCTCAATGAAGAAGATGACGATGACGACGCAGCGTGTATCTTCTGCAATGAGTTATACAGTTTTTCCAAGTCCAGGGAAACATGGATACGTTGCCAGCAGTGCCAGAAATGGAGTCATACAGAATGCGCAGGAGTTGGAAGAAAAACAAAAATTTTTATATGCGATATTTGTCAAAGCTAATAATATGTCATTTTACCCCAATATGTTAGGGTAAAATGACATACATAGAGTGGCGTTTTATATAACATTTTTTTTACAAATAAATATCATTGATTTGTATTCATCGGTACTATTTTTACATGCTTCCAACATTAATGAATCGGTTCCCAACTTTGGGTTAATCTAATTCAATAATAAAGTTAGTTTTTATGCTGTTATATGAATAGTATGTCATTTTAGGCCAGTTTCCCCTACCTACTCTTCACGCCGCCACTAGAAATATACTTATCTCTAAACAAGAAAGTTGACATTGTGCAGTCACTGCGCATGCGTACGTTAATCGTTGATATTTTTCTTGGTCGAGATGTCAGAGCTATTAGCTACCGAATGCAAAAAGAACGAACTAAATATCTTGAAAACTGTACGAGTGGTTAAGGTCTCGGACAGACGGACAAAGTGGTCATTGAGTTGGAAAATGTTTTGTGGATATAACTGCAATACAAACTTTGGAGGAGCAAAAAGAAAGGGGAAAAATGTTTTCGCAAATATGAAAGAAACTGTCAACCAGTCACCGATAGGTGTGGGGTGTCCGAATCATATTTTAAACAATTGTGCAACATGGAATGGATTCACTCCCTATAGATGTAGATTCAATAGTTTTAAAAAATTTTAATCATTTTTCCATTTAAACAGTGACAACGGAGACGCTCAAATCATTTTGTGAATTACAAAAAACTACTTTTCCACAGTAAAGCAAGGTGGCTGTCAGTTTCCTTGTGTCAATAGAATAATTCTGGAAATGTATGAAGCATTAGAATCATTTTTTCTGTCTGATGCATCGGCCCCACAGGTTTTAAAAAGATTCTTTGAAAATAAATGCGGCATATTTTTGGTTTTGCCATTCTTTAATGTTTGTTTTTGAAGAATCTATTAAAAACATGGAAAAGGAATGCAATTCCTTATTAGAAATATTACATATATTGCAAAAAATTGGACGTACGCTTAAAAGAAGAACAAATATCATTAATATCTTCGATGTTGCTAGCATTATGATCTTACACACCATCTGAATTTCAGAGAAAGGCGAGAAAAATTGAAGATGTAGATAGGTGGAAGGCAAGCGAATTTAGAAGTTTTTTGCTATATAGTGGCCCTGTGATTTTAAAAAGTGTTAGGCAAGAAAAACTTTACCAACATTTTTTGGCACTTACTATTGCTATAAGAATTCTTTGCAGTTCTGAATTGCATCTTAAATTAAATGACTATGCTAACAAACTTTTAGTTTGGTTTGTGCAACATAACCCAAAATTTATGGTAGAGAATATTTGACATATAACGTCCACGATCAGGAATTGTAAAACACTAATCAATTTCATCATGTCATATAACGTCCACAACTTGATTCATCTTGCTGCTGATGTTAAATTTTTCGGACCTTTGGATTATTTTATTGCTTTTGTATTTGAAAATGAAATGCAGCAAATTAAGAAGAAAATTGTAAGATTCAAGACATCCTCTGCAACAAATTACTAATCGATTGGAAGAAAAGAATAAGTTAGAGGAAATTGTCAAGTTACCTTTGTTTCCTGTTCTAAAATATTTAAAAAAAATGTCAGTTGTTAGTGTTACTACTAAAGATTATACATTAAAAAAGTGTGACAATTGTGTTTTGTTAAAAAATGTTTCTGTGTGTTTACTTAGTAATTTTAGTGTAAATAATGACAACTTAACTATTAGTGTTCAGAAATATGACAGTATAAAACCTCACTTTTTACAGCCATAAGATGTTCGGAAAAATTCTTCATGGGTCGTGCATAGATATAAATAAGTAATACTCTAAATGTACAATTGTTATTAATTTTTGAAAAGATAAGGATTTATTTAGAATCAGGGGCGGATGGGCAACTAAAATC